ATGTCGCAGCAGAAATCGAGACTCATCAGACCAAGCAACGTTTTTCCAATCTTCTCTTGTCCAATTTCGATGAGCTTGTTCAAATTGTAGCCTCAGTTTCCTGTTCTTAGCTGAAAGGAGTGGCACCCGGTGTGGTCTTCTGCTGCTGAAGCCCATCTGCCTCAAAGTTCAACGTACTGTGCGTTCAGAGATGCTCTTCTGCCTACCTTGGTTGTAACGGGTGATTATTTGAGTCACTGTTGCCTTTCTATCAGCTCGAACCAGTCTGCCCATTCTCCTCTGACCTCTGGCATCAACAAGGCATTTCCGCCCACAGGACTGCCGCTCACTGGATGTTTTTTCTTTTTCGGACCATTCTCTGTAAACCCTAGAGATGGTTGTGCGTGAAAATCCCAGTAGATCAGCAGTTTCTGAAATACTCAGACCAGCCCTTCTGGCACCAACAACCATGCCACGTTCAAAGGCACTCAAATCACGTTTCTTCCCCATACTGATGCTCGGTTTGAACTGCAGGAGATTGTCTTGACCATGTCTACATGCCTAAATGCACTGAGTTGCCGCCATGTGATTGGCTGATTAGAAATTAAGTGTTAACGAGCAGTTGGACAGGTGTACCTAATAAAGTGGCCGGTGAGTGTAGTCTCTTCTTGTTTTAATTATTTAAATATTGTTAAATGTAGATTTTTTTTATTGAATTCATGATAAAAAGCATTAAAATAAAAGTTTTACACTTGTGAATTTTTTAGGAGTTTAAATTTCCCATATTATTTAGCAAAAAAAAAAAGCTAATAGTTAAGAATAATAACATGAAGAACGCTAGTCCCAACTTATTATTCAGCCATTTTTAGACATACAAAGCTGAATATTAGCATAAAAATAGCCAAAAACAATCTTTATAAATACTAAATGCCAATAAAAATTCAAGGACTAACTTTAAAAGCCTATAATGCTGTCACTTAAAAACTTAAGATTAAATTTGTAGTAGAGTAGTAAAAAACGGTCACATGTTGATTAACGATGCTAAGCTAACCACAGATGTCAATGCTGAAAGAAGGGCTATAATTTAGCCGTGTTTGAAACAGACAACTAAAAAAATTTAGTACAGTATCAGAGAATACAAAATACAAGAGCCACACCCACTTGGCATGCATTTGAGGGTGGCCAATCAGGTGCAAGGGGTGGAACTTGCCACTCCCGCCGCCCCTCTGGCTCCGCCCCTGATGTCGCCCATTGAGTTTTAAATTAAAATGATCTTATAATGAAAAAGAAGCTGCTGTTTAGTCAAACCTTGTAAGATCTCATATTCTGAGATCCTGAAAGGTGTCAGTGCTTGTGTTGAGTACGACTCTCAGCCACCAAATCAAACTTTAGATCAAAACCTTTAATTTATAAACATTTTAATTTATAAACATTTTATTGTCGTCTCACTGGAGGCAAAGCAGTCAAGTTAATCTGCTTCTCACAGCGCAGCAATCTGAAATATGAACCCTCTAAATAGTGATGATGTGTTCATTTGCATGCACAAACATGCACAACGCCTCATGCATACATAAAACCAGATAAGGACTCTCTCTCTGTCTCACACACACACACACACACACACACACACACACAGGCTGCCTGTCATTCACACAAGAATGTACTCGAGTGCACAGAACTCATTACAGATGCAAACATGCAAACCTATAAACACTCCGGGGTAAAAGCGCGCGCGCGCGCGCGCACACACACACACACACACTGCATGCCAGTTTTAAACAAAGATGTTTCTGAGGTTGCTTAGCTCTGACGGCCACCTTGTCTGGAGTTAAATCTAAAGATAATCAGAGAGTAGATATTTTGCTAACAGCAGATATTTTGCTAACAGACACACCACGCTCTGAGCATGGCTCTGTGATGTATGTAAACGTATGGAAGCTGCTGAGGGTGCCCACGTTTCATTTCACACCTCCACCATCAGCATCCTGACAGAAAACTCCTCCCTGCCGCAGCTCCAGGGCTCTCAGTGGTTCTGTTTGGTTCTGGACCACGGACYGGAGCGGGTCCAGCCGGGCAGAGACCGGTCAGTGGCTTTGAACAGGGCACCATCTAGTGTCGCCTGCAGAGAAGTTTCCTCTTCTTTCTTTAAAGAGGGAAGATAAATGTTGGGTGTGTGTCAGCTGGTTTCATCGAGCTGAAAGTGTATTTGTTTTTTTTTTTCTTCACAAGACAACCGGGCCAGAGATTCTGAGACCGAGGGATCACGACTTTAACAGAAGAAACTTTTCAAATAAACCTAAAGAAAGTTTCAACATTGATTTGCTCCATAAAGGAGGAATAATAATGTTAAATAAAACGACTGAAATGTTTATCAAATCCTGGTTGATTATGTGTATTTTTCTGTCTGTTAGTAAAATATCTAGTAACTATCCTTTCATCCATTTTCTTCCGCCTATCCGGGGTCGGGTCGCGGGGGCAGCAGCTTCAGAAGGGAGGCCCAGACCTCCCTCTCCCCAGCCACTTCTTCCAGCTCCTCCGGGGGAACTCCAAGGCGTTCCCAGGCCAGCTGAGAGACATAGTCCCTCCAGCGTGTCCTGGGTCTTCCTCGGGGCCTCCTCCCGGTGGGACGTGCCCGGAATACCTCACCAGGGAGGCGTCCAGGAGGCATCCTTACCAGATGCCCGAGCCACCTCAGCTGGCTCCTCTCGACGTGGAGGAGCAGCGGCTCTACTCTGAGTCCCTCCCGGATGACCGAGCTTCTCACCCTATCTCTAAGGGAGAGYCCAGCCACCCTGCGGAGGAAACHCATTTCGGCCGCTTGTATCCGGGACCTCGTTCTTTCGGTCATGACCCAAAGCTCATGACCATAGATGAGGGTAGGAATGTAGATCGACCGGTAAATCGAGAGCTTCACTTTCTGACTCTCTCTTCACCACGACGGACCGGTACAACACCCGCTTTACAGCAGACGCTGCGCCAATCCGCCTGTCGATCTCCCGCTCCCTTCTTCCCCCATTCGTGAACAAGATCCCCAGATGCTTAAACTCCTCCACTTGAGACGGGGCGACCCCCCTGACCCGGAGAATGCACTCTACCCTTTTCTAGTTATTAAAATCCATTCTAGTAACTAGTGAATGGATTTTAATAACTCAGTGAGTAATAATCAGCTGCACGGCTACAACAGATTAAGTGTTGGAGAAAATCCAATTAAAGATGGCYGCCACAGCTAATCGATCTTAGCGAACACCAACTCAAATAAACTCGGCTGTGGACCGACGCTTTGTCTGAGAACTTCCTCGTTTTGTTCTCGCTGCTTCTGAGTGAAGTTTGGTGACGCTCGATTATTTTATGATAAATTGGTCTGCCGTAGATGGACAAGGGAACAGAGACAGAGCTGGAGTCTATTTTTAAAAAGCCAATCCTGGTCCTCTAGGGCCACCATCCTACCTGTTCTAGAGGTTCCTCTGCTCCAACACACCTGACTTGTATAAACGAGTGATTGTTTTCTGCAGAACTTGAAGAGGTGATTCWGTCACTGGATCAGGTGTGTTGGAGCAGGGGAACAAATAAGTCAGAAGGATCTGGTTTATTGAAGGTATCATGGGACCAGAGTCTATTCTCAATGCGGGGCTTTAAGCTCCGCCCACTCTACCTGCACACGACCATGACATGAACTTTCTTGTTTAAAAAAGTCAAAGCTAAATGTTAGAAAAATAAAAAATCTGAAAACAACAAGGAGAAAACTACATGAAACATCAGATTGTTTTTTAAACAAAGTACTTTCTGTTTGCTCACATGAAGGGGGCGGGACTAAAAATGTGTTGACTTCTGGGTAGGATGCTGTAGATCCGTGGTGTCCAGTCCTGGTCCTCGAGGGCCACCGTCCTGCAGGTTTTAGTTGTTTCKCTGCTCTTCAAGCCTGTTAATCACCCATTCATTCACATAAGGAGAGTCAAAGCATCTAAAACAAGAAAGGGCAACTGGTGGCCTGCGGGCCATTTGTGGCCCACAGGTTACTTATGTCCGGTCAACCAATGAGCTGCTTAGAGAGCTTTTATAAGTTAAAAAAAGTTTTAATCTCTGTTCAGTTTCAAGGCTTTTTCTTCAGTTACAAAAATTATAAAAACAAATATTTTAGAAATTTTGCATCATTTATATGATTTTTACCCAGTTTGTCACAAAACGTGCACATTTTTAGCTAAATTTGGTGCAGTACAAGTGAAACAGGAAGTGATGTCAAAGGGGAACTCTTTAAAAAAAGGGTAACTTCCTGGTCTTTGTAAATCTGACTCTTTCTGATAATGACTCAAAATAATCTACAGAAACATCCGATTCTTTGCAGTCGGTTGTTAGCCGTTGTAGCAACCCATTCAGGCATTCCCCTTTGACATCACTTCCTGTTTCTGGTCATGCGAATATCTCAGCAACCGTTCACTTCAGTGTCGTGAATTTTTGTTTGCAATTCATCATGAATGTTATCTTTCCAAATATGCACTCAAAAAATATCACTTAAATTTAATGCCACGAGCACTTTAATATGTCGTCACTGCGAGTTGCACAAAGCTAAATATGAGGTTTACTGAAGTCGCAAGTATTGTTGCACTTCAGCTCTCTAAAGTATGGTGTTTATTTTTATTTGCTTTAAGTGTTTTCTATTAAAATTAAATGAGTACAATTGCTATACTTAAGAATTAAATATTTTAAGTTACTTCACTGTATGTTGGTTTAATAAGTATATTTATAAATATACACAATTTTTAAATGATGGTTTTATTACATTTGTGTAAGTGTGCAGCGATGTGGCCCTCTGTGTCAACATTCACGGCCCCGCCATCATTTACGTTGTCACCCCTGATCTGAAACCTGTAGGATAGCGGCMCTCGAGGACCAGACAAAACCAGAGACCGGATCGAACTCCACAAACCGACGTACATTAGTCTCAAATGAAAACGAAACTAGACACATTTTTTTAAACAGCTTCTTATCAGGCTTTCCATAAAAACAGAACTTTTCAACAACAATAAAACACAGCAAATGGTGTTTATTGTCAAAGTGTAGGAGTAGGACAATGTTATATGTGCATAAGTCATTATTGTGAACTCTAGTTGTGCAACAAACTAAGCTACAGTATATACAGACACCTATCATTTACCTGTTGATGGCCGGATGACAGTTATACTGTATAACAGTAAATCTAGTGGCCGGTTCGCTTGGGGCAGGACGGTCTCTAAAGACCATCCGTCAGAGGCCCAAGACTTTGGTTATCATCTGCGTGGAAATGGTGACTCTTTACTTTTACAGTGTAATATCAATCAATACAACTAAACATCCATTAAAAACATCCACATGAATATAGTCAACAAATGTTACGCAGAAGATCTCGCCCCTCTCCTCCGACACGTTTCTCTTCCTGCTCTCTTTTATCTCCATAAAATCCATTAAAGGTTAAACAAACATTTAAATGTTACAGATCTCATTAAAGTAAAAGAAAATAATGTTATGAGAACCCTCCATCTAGATATGGACAATACTTTGTGAAAAATATATGTATAGTATAGTGAACTAAACATTTACATGACTTTACAGGTTGAAAGGAAACATTGCTCTGACATAACTCTTTATAATAATAATAATAATAATAATGATAATAATAATAATAATAATAATACAGCCTCACAGTCTGTATGAACATGCTATGATCTCGTTACTCACGTCTACCTCTGTCTGTGTGGCGCCGGGCCCCCCGCGGCCCGCCACACCCTCGTGTCAGTGTGTACTTGTGGGTTTTTAGGTGTGCGCGGATGTCAGTGTGAGTCGGAGGGGGGTGGGGCTCAGCAGTCCCCCGAGTTGTGCGAGTGCGGCCCGGTCTCCAGCTTCCAGTCTCTCTGGTCGGCGGCGTCGGCCTGCGCGTGCTGGGAGGCGGCGGGCGACAGCGCCATCTGTCTGCGGGGGTTGGCGCTGTGCATGGTGTTCCAGTGGCGCTTCAGGTCCGACGCCTTGATGAAGGCCTTGTCACAGGAGCCGCAGTTGAAGGGCCGCTCGCCCCGGTGCTGCCGCTCGTGGTCCTTCAGGTGGGACTTGTGCTTGAAGGCCTTTTCGCACATCTGGCAGGCGAAGGGCCGCTCGTTGCTGTGCACGCGCTCGTGCCGCTTCAGGTCGGGGCCCCGGATGAAGGCCTTGCCGCACACCACGCAGCGGTGCGGCTTGAAGCCCGAGTGGATCTTCAGGTGCTCCTTGAGGTGGGCGGCGGTGGTGAAGGCTTTGGGGCAGTGCTCGCAGCCGTACGGGCGGTTGGCCGTGAGCAGGCGCTCCTTTTTGGCGTTGTGGTCCAGGGGTTTGGCCCCCGCCGTCGGGCAGGAGCCGTGGTCGCGGTGGCCGTAGAGCAGGTACTCCAGCTTCATGTCGCTGGAGGCGGCCGAGGCCCAGCTGTGGGCGTGGGGGTCTTTACCCATGCTGGTGTTGTAATTGTGCGGCTGGGACACGTGGGAGCCGCCGGGCCCGATCCCGTCCATCCCCTGGTCGTAGAAGCTGTTCTTCCTCACCTCCTCCATGGCCAGCTCCTTCAGGATGGCGTCCTGCGCTCTCATCCCGTGGTCGTCCGGCGCCTGGTTCTCCCGCGTCTTCATGTTGGTCAGCTCGCGCTTCTGGGTGCACAGGTTGTCCAGGAAGTTGATGCCGAGGATCTGACCGGACGACATCATCATGTTGATGTCCTTCTTCCTCACGGCCAGCCGGGCCGTGTACATGTAGTTGAGCACCTCCTCGAAGATGTCGGAGCGGATGAAGTCCAGCTCCACGATGGAGTTGTCCTCGTCGCTCTGCTTCTTGAAGAGCTTCTTGAAGTAGTTGCTGCAGGCGGCCAGCACGCAGCGGTGAGCCCTGAACTCGATGTTCTCCACCACCACCACCACGTCGCAGTGCTCGCCCTCCATCCTCTGCTGGTTGAGCATCTTCAGGAAGGTGGCTTTGTGGTCGTAGTCGATGTATCTCAGTAAATCAGACATGTTGCAGGTCAAACGGTTGCAACCTGCAGAGGACAGACAGACGAGTCAAATGTTTTGATTTCCACAGGATGATGGACGCTGCACAGCTGAGGGGAGGAGCTTTAACTGCACACAACTCAACATAAAACAGCAAAACACACAAAAAAATCAACCAAACCTGCAACTAAAAGTGTTTGTTTACAAATGTGCATGAGTAAAAAAAAAAAAAACGGAGGAAAAAAAAAAACTACGACAGGAGGCCCGAGTCGAGCCTCAGAACGCAAATAAAAATAAAAACACAAACAGGAACAAACAGACGCACTTTTCTTGCCGTAAATAACACACTTTCGGCGCAGCGTTTACGTGTCAGTCGCGCTGCTTGAAGAAAAAGATCACCTTAGCGAGAAATATTTCACATTTCACTGCGCCCAGCCATTTTGGTCAGAAGCAAGCCTCCGCGGGTTTGTTTCTTGCAGCCTGAAAAGTCGGTTCGCGAACCGAACCGAACCAAGACGGTTTCGAAAGGTTTTTTTTTCCCGGGTCGCCCGAACACAGCGAGTCGGAATAGAAGAGTTAGTACCTAAAGCCTGAACCCGAATCCCTGTCTTGTCACGCAAGGCGGTCGACGACGATCCAGATCCAGAGCTGTCGTTTTTCCTCTTCCTCCTCTTGTTGTGACTGAGCGGTTCCAAAGGAAACGCCACTTCGCTCTGCTGCCACCTACTGCGCCGGAGAAGGAACTGCAGCCAAGATCGTCTAATCACAAGCTGATGAGTCACTCCAATTAACATTTTTATCTTTAAAATTTATGACATTGAAAATGCCACGAATCTCAAACCAGTGTTGAAATATAATTCCATAAAACACAAGAAATTAGTTTTATTTTATTTTAATCTTCAATTTAACTGAATATATTYATAAAAACAACAAAAGTAAATCAATTATTGAATGAAAAAGCTGCAGAAAAAATAAATCTTGTGTCAACCCCTTATTTAAAAACACAACTTAGACTTGAACAAACTCCATTTTAGTTGTTTTTCTTAAAGAAAACATAACAATATTACAAAAGCTTTATAAAATTGTATTTTGAGTAGCCAAATCATTAAGGTGTATTCACCAGAGGTGTACAGTATTTTTATTTGTTACAGTAATTTTTTGAGGTTTTGTAATTTTACTAAGTATTTTTACCGTAACTTTTACCTTTATTTTGTTATATTCAAACCATAAAAATTATACTTATTTCTTCACCTAGTTACATGTTACAAATTTAAATATGACCGGAATGCATCATGAAAGGAGTTGTTTGTGTAAAAGTACTTTTACTTTTCCAATCATTGTGAGCAGTTTTCTTATCAGTGAAACAAATGTTTTACCAAAGTTATTTTCTGTTAAGGTATTCTCACTTTTACTTAGTTATATCTTCCAAGAACTTTATATATCTTTGGTGTTAACAGTACTTTTATATTCCCAAAAAATATTTTATAACCAAAAATAAAAGCCACTAAACACGCTTTTCTAAACTGATGAAATAAAAAATATACTGTTTATGTCATATGGAAGTGTAGATTTTATATTACAGTAAATCCATTTAGTTAGGTTGTCTACATATTTATGATGTACTGGTTAAACTTTAAACTACTGGCTTAAATTACCTTTGGAATTTCAGATTAGTATTTCCAACAAATCAATGCTTAAACACAATGCTTTGCTTGTTCTTGTGCAGATTAATCTGACCCCTCTCAGTCCTGAGGGTTGTTATTGTCTGCCTTTGCTTCTGGTGAACTTTGAATAACACAACCGACGAGCATATTACTAGTTTCTTAGACAGTTAAAAGCTATTCAAATAATACTTAACACCTGAAATCGATAAAAAATTACTCTTTGACTGCAGAAACTCGATGACAAGTTATATATGTTTTATAAACACGTCAACAGAAACGGAGTGATACCTCTTTTCTTCTTCTCTTCGGCACGCATTTACGTCCCTCAGAGGGGCGGGGCTTCCGAGGCCCTCAGGCTCGTCCTGTCATGGGTTCTCCAGCTCATTTAGGTGTTTAAAGCATTTTTATGACATTATTAAACCACACGCTTCACTCTGCTGATTCTACTWGTTTCTATTTATGTGTTTATTAGTAATTAATAACCTAAAATCAACTTCTATGCCTTAAGAAGTGACTAAATTTGAGAGTGAAATCACAAACTTGTGCAACAGAGAAGTATTTGTACTGTAGTCACTTTATTATTTGTAGAGGAAAACAGCAAATTAAGATAAAAGCATTTGCCACCACTTTGTGGGAAACATGGCCGAACACGAGGCAGGTACATTTGAAGTGATGAGGGAGACGAACAGCCGACACGTGGGGCTGGCTTTGGATCTTGTTTGGGGGGCAGAACCCGGCAGTCGGAGCCCTTTGCCTCACAGTCGCACAAAACGTGGGACTTGTGCTGCAGCCGATCTTCAACCCTGGGAGAACATTCAAAGCCTGCGCAGGCACATAAATTAAACATCTGTTTATTGATTTTTCGGCTTTCAGCCAGAACAGACCATGACAGTGGCTGTGAGCGACCGATGACAAACAAGAACAAAAACGCTGAAATTACAGTAAAAACTGAAATGAATGCAATTCAGACACACATGACACGAATCAATCTTAACAGATCGGGAGGCATTTGTCCCCAGGAAGCTTTGTTATGTACAGTGCTGAGGTGCAGGTATCTGTAGTGGCACACCTGATGGAAAAATCATTAGGCTGTTGAAAGGAGTGAAGCAATGCTTGTGTTTGCAGACGAGGTYGGCACTTCTACAGCGAGGTTACATAGTGTTGGCTCTCTAACATACACAGCCTACAGCAATTACAAGTTTCTGGAGTGATGGCTTCTTTATCTCATAAATAAAAACGTTGCTACAATAATTATTTTTCAGTAATCATAAAAACGCGTCCAAGTCATATAAGGCAGTGAAAGCAAACGGTTTGCTTTGCTGCACGCAGGGACTGGGCGTGCAGACGGATCGAGACTTAAAAACAACAACAAAAAAAAAATTAGACAGTTTTCTGCATTTTCTTCTCATTTGGTGGATAATTCAGCTTTGCGTCCTTCTCATGCAGAATGCATTTATTGGTGTTGCGGGAGATGTTTGTGAGTGTAGCAGCGAGCTGCAGCGTTTGGAGCGCGGGGCTTCCCCCTCGGAGTCCCGACGTAGAGTTAAGTGTGTTGGAGCTTCTGGGAGGTTTGGGTGGAAAACAGCCCCTCCGTGTTATTCCTGGAAGARCAGATGAGTCACAAATGAGATGTTTAATTAACATCCGAGGCTTTTCCCGCCACAGCAAACAGAACAACAAGCCTTAAGAAAGATCACTACGTTTTACCCACGCCTAACGGAACACAGGGAGCACAGAGCTAAAAGGTGAAAACAGAGTGAGCGCCATTTTTTATCCTTCAACTTTAAAATGAGCTAACATGCTTTATTCTGCAAAATGTTTTAAAAGGATTGTGATTTTTTTAAACGAGCCTGTTCTGGATGTAAACAAAAGGACTWGAGCAGTAAACAATCACAATCCATACGTGTCGCAATCTGAGCTTGTGCACGTTGGAGGATAAGAGTCACGTCTTTATTGCTTTTAAAACCTTTAAATCTCCTGAATCTATAAAGACTCCAGAGATTGTAGTCCGCAGTGATAAGCTGGGGATGCTGTAGCTCTTCCTTCGCAGGAAAACAACATATTTTGAGTTTTAAAAAATGAAACAAAACATCTAAAAATCTCCTGCATGGCTCTGAGGTGACTGGAAGAACTGAACTGTTTGTTTGTTTATTAAATTAAAAGTATTTATTCAACCCCCTAGAACGTTTAATTCTCAGGCAATTTATTTTTTTTTCAAACTCAAATTAAACAAAGATAAAAATGTTGCCTTGAAMGTGAAWAAGTAATTAAATAAATAAACCAGGTAATACAGGAAGCAGCAGCGTTCAAAATACATCAGAAACTCACCTAAATGAGCAAATTTCATGAGATTCCACGTTTTATGCTGGATTATTTTGGGTTAATTCTGTGACTCCGTCTGCAATTTCTGMATTAGGGAAATCATAGAGCCCTACATATCTCAGTTCTATTTTTATTTATTTTTTTACACACCTGGGATGTTTTTTTCACGTAACCCCTGTTAATCTGCTCACCCCCAGTTGGGAATCACTGCTGTAGGGGAGAGCTGCCTTTTTGTTTAACCTCAGTTTTCTCCTGTTTATGTGCTTTTTAAGKAAGGTTATTGTAAAACTGTATATATTAATTTTATTGGGGTTAGGTAAGTTTATATTGATCTTTTTCTTTCAGGGTTGTTTTGTTTGTTATTTTGGCCTGAGCTCTCCCTGAAGTCATTTAATAAGTCTGAATAGACAGGAAACTTAAAACATGGCAGAAAATAAACACWTTTAATGCCATTTTTAACTCCTCCTTCATTGTACAGATTTATGTTAGTCCCTTTAATCTCCTGGACCAAACCAGGGGACGGAACAATGTCAAAGATCTGAAAAAATCCTTTCGCGGATCGTCTACTGCAGCCGCTCCAAAAGTTGGGGTCGGAGGACAAAACAGTCAAGTTTTGCGTTGTTTCCAGAAAAAAATTTAAAATGACAAATAACTGCTAATTAGATCGTTTTTGGTCATAATTGTTATGAGAAATGAAATGTTGTCAATTAAAAACAGTTCAATAGTGAGTTTTGTWGTTCTAARAATGATWTTTACATACTTTARATATWGYTAGCACAAAAAGTAAGTAAATGTGTGTTTAGTAGATTATTTCTTCGTACAAAGCTTCTTGGTAATAAATCTTTTAGCAGAACCTGATCGACAGGAGCTGGAGCTACCAGAAGATTAAAACTACTAGAGAAGATTTGGCAAATGTTTCAYGTGCACAACCCACATACTCAGCTCTGCTGCTCATCCCACAAATGCATGATCCTTACAAATGTGGTGCCATTTTAAAGAGAAATGAACAGGCTTTACAGCGGTGTAACATTTCTTGCCGAGAAGCATTGTTACAACAAAGAAATAATCTACCAAACACACATTTCCTTACTTTTTTGTGCTAAGTTTATAACTGTGGTCAAATGTTTCTGATATTATTGTGTCTTTGTGACAGATTGCTGCTAATGATCTTATGTGTAGAATCATAAAACAAAGGAATAATAAATGACTTTAAAYGCCTACTTGTTGCTTATAAAGAAACCAAAGCCATGTGGGGAATAGGGGTGTAAGAAAATATCGATACACTGAAATATCGCGATATTTCATTTCCCGATACTGTATCGATATTCTAAAGCCCTGTATCGATTTTTAATTAAGKTTTAAAATGTCAACCTTTTTGCCAACCGTTCATTTTTATGTTGTAGTTCAGCCTCTGACCACTAGTTGGCAGCAGTGAGCCAGCCATTTGGCTCCTCTACTTCTTGAGCGCCAGAGAATAAGGGTAGCATTAGCATTGTAGGAGACAATGTAAGCATTGTAAGTAAACATTAGCTTTTTTTTCAGTAAGAGGTTTTTAATAGAATTTTTGGACAAAAAAATATCGCAATATATCTCAATATATCGCCTTGCTTACAGTATCGCAATATATCGGGATATATCGTATCGTGACCCCTCTGTTATGATATGTATTGTATCGCCAAATTCTTGCCAATACACAGCCCAAGTGGGGAAACTTTAGGATGAGTTGTAAACGTTAGAATAAAGCATGACGTTAGCTCACTCTGTTTGGCACCTGGCTGTGGGGGGATTTCTCAGAATAAGGCTCTGTTGTTGTAAATAAAGCAGCTAAACGTTTCTTATTCTGACCCCAATACTGTGTGTGTGTGTGTGTGTGTGTCTGAGCAGGAAAACAGACAAGCCTTTGAGAAACCAGAGAGAAAATATTTAGTAGGGTGTTAATAGTGCTATTCAAACACAGCTATTAAACATCACACACACACACACAAGTGACAGTGAGGCTGCAGGAACAAAGCCAAGCATTCCCATCTGGTGAGTCAAGCAAGCTAACTCATGCACGCTCGCTCATCCCCAGCTCGGCTCCTCGGGATCATCACACACTGAAGAAATGAAGCTGCCGAGCCAAAAAGGTGAAGTGGGAGCGAACGAGACAACCAGCAGCTTTCAAACTTAGAAAACGCTCAAACCACGATGTTATTAAAGAAAAAAAAAAAACAAGCTTCGGGTGAAATGAAATGACAAGTTCCTTCAAGCAGCTTCACACGAGCTGAAATCCTCTCARCGCTGACAGACGACAAGCTGAAACACATCTGTGGAGTTTACAGAAACAAAGCAAACGAGGACTGCTGACCTATTTTATTTCTCCACTCAAAACACGAGAAGGAAACCGATTAACTGCAGGGAGACGTTTGACAAACTTGTTCTGGAAACTCAGATCTTTATTTTTCTGAGGCTTTTTTTTTGTTGGTTTAACTAGATGAACCCACTTTAAATAACACTATTTTTAAAACTTTTTTTCTGCATCAGCCAAATGAGCCGAAATGAGCGAGTTTATTTAAATGGGTTTAAGCCACACGCTTCTTAACGTTAAAAACAGACTGAAGCTCCTCTGCGTACACAAAAGATCAGATTTCAGTCCATGCGGGTGTGTTTGCAGAAGCCAGTTCAGCCGGATTTTATTCTCATCACTGCAGGTTTTTTTTTAATGTGGACAAAAAAATTATTGAAAAAAAAAAGTTTTCATAGAATATTTTAAATTGTCCATTTAGCCCTGGTTTAGTAGTCTCATGTAGAGAGAACTGTAACAAAAATACGTTGTGTGTTGTTATGAACTGACACTATGATCCGGTCGGGCTAATAGCAGGCCTGTTCCCTGCCAGGATGAGTGAAGCTGAAACAACCACAGCACCATGCACAAGCTGCGACAGAGAAGCAGGGCCGACCTGAACCAAAACAAAAAGCATCCCAGACTAAAGYGGACAGGAGATGGGGACTGGGACTGGTTTTCTTACCTGGGTCAATCCTCACCCTCCTCTGGTGTGATCTCTGTCTCTTTATGTACGACTACTTTGGTCACTGACATGTCAGGATGCTGCTCTTTAGCCTCCTTTATGGCCTGAGCCAGGGCCTAAAATATGAGGGGGGTGCAGTGCCAGGAGGGACCACCGGGGGGAGACAGAGAACGGGGGGAGAGCGGGGGATCGTGAGTCAGAATGCCAAGAAGCCACCTAGTCACATTTTGTTATAGTTCCAGTATTTTTATACGTCCATCAGGAGGCTGCTCGCAAACTTAAAGCCTCAAAGAGTCGATGAGGTCACAACACTTAAAAAATCAATCAAATCAGACGAGGAAGAAATGTAAAGACCTCATCGTGGTCGATGTCTGCGTCTCCTGTGATGACGATCCTCTTCTCGATTCTCGTTTCTGAGATTCCTCCTTTCACCATCTGAGCGACAGAAAAACACAAACTTAATCACAACAAAACTGACATGTTTACTAAAAAAACAAACAGAAATATTTAAATTCACGTTAGCTGACTTCTCTAAAACCAGTGTTTGATGTTTTGGAACCGTTTCCAGCTGAAACTGATTCTGTGCTGGAGCCGAACCAAACGCTGCTGCAGTTTGAGCTCTGCCAGCACAAAGACAAAGAGGCGAGCAGACACAACACATGAACCCTGACCTTTGTGATGTGTGTGGTCGTGGTGGTGCTGGTGGTTTCCGAGGTGATGGTCTGAGCGCTCAGCAGCACCCCGGGGTCTGCGTCACCGTTGGTGTCAACCTGTCAAAAATACCACATGTGGATAAAATCAGAGGAACGCTTTTCACAGCTGAATGTTTAACTGCAGCTCACCTGATGTGTTATTAGTGATTTCATTTAACAAAACTGCTTATTAAGATGGTTTTTTGCACCTAATTCTATTTTTTTGCAAAAAAAATTAAGACCTCATTAAAGTAAAAACTCTATATCTTGTAATAGTGTGAATGCTACTGACATCATTTTTTCTTCTGTACATTTTTCAGCTTCAAACTCGTAACACTTTTTTTTTTGCTATTTCAACAATTCATATTTTAAAACGTTCAGCTCACTCATGTGAGGGGTGCTATGACTTTTGGTATTTCAGCTATTTATACATTTTCAGCTATTTCACTTTTTCGGCCATTTTTGTCCCATTGAAACTGAATGGGGCCATTTTCACCATCCTTAAAACCTTCAAAAGGTTTCTAAATATTTACAAAACCTTACACATTTTGTTTTGGTTCTGCTCTTTTTCACTTTCTTGTGCTAATTTTCGCTACTTTTTGCAAATTGTAGCTTTTTTCTTCTATTTCAGCTAAAATTCTGCTTCTTTCTGTTATTCTTCTGCTTTTTCCTACTTTTTTCTTCTACTTTGTGCTACTTGTGCAGCTTATAGATGATCTTATCTATATTCAGCTATTTTCTGCAATTTTAGCTAAACTTCAGCTGCTATTAGCTAAAGTTAGCTATTTTAAGCTAAACACACAGTTTTTGTAGCTATTACAACTTAATTCTGCAAAATTCAGCAAACATGCTCCTTATGCTAATTAAAAAATTTCCAGCTACATTTTGGCTGTTTTACTGAAAATTTCAGCTGTTTTGACTATTTTACTACAATTTCTCTAGTTATGGTTTGATACGTCCACTAATCGATGACAAATGTTTGCTTTTTGTTTCACACTCCATCATCAAACTGATCTTTTTTCTCTCATTTAATGGAGATTTTAATAAAACCTCCTTTTTGACCCTGAAGGGGAGAAGTATTCAAGGAAGGAGTATTACAGAAACCTCTAAAACAATGTTCATGTCTAAAAAGATGATTAAGTCAAATTATTGAGAAAATATATCATTTGTGGTGTCTAGTGGAATTTTTTWAAATTTTTATTTTGCTGTAAATAGTAGGCGCTGTGTATTGGCAAGAATTTGGCGATACGATACATATCATGACAGAGGGGTCACGATACGATATATCCCGATATATTTCGATACTGTAAACAAGGCGATATATTGCGATATTTTTGGTCCAAAAATTCTATTAAATAAAAACCTCTTACTGGAAAAAAATCAAAACAAAACAAAACAAAAAACCAAAATTCATTGTCTCAGAAAATTTTATTACATAGACATACTTTTGATACATTTAGCTGTGTTCTGCTTTGTATGTGTTTTATTTTATTTGTTTCATATTTCATCCATGTTTTCAATTATTAGACTAAATTTGCCAATAAATAGTTTGAAAATATATTTTTTGCAGCTTTTAGTTTTTAATATTAATTTACARTTTGGTCACCCAACACTTAACAATAGCGTTTATGTTGTCATAAAGTTCAGTAAACAGATGATATGAAGCTGCTGCACAGAGTTTCTGGGATCAGCTGACCTGCATCCAGAACATTATAACTGTGGGTCGAACAGCAGGGCAGGTCCTGAAGAAAACCAGTTAAGAAATTGAGAAGCTAAACGAGTTAAACCGTTTTTGAAGTGAACACAGCAGGATAAAGTATATGGACTTTGATGCGTTCATCAGCTGGACATTAGCTATGTTTACATGCACAAAATTTTTTAATCAGATTGAAATGTATTCAGATTAAATAATCTGAATGTACTGCATGGACACAATCCGATCATGAAAAGTGTTTACATGCACCAGAGTTTTATTCAGAATAAAAGTCCAGACATGCGCAGCGTTGTAAACTTTCAGCTCTACTTCAGTGTTACAAACGTAAACAAAGCTCCTCTGTGCGCTCCGTACGGACCCGTGTCAGCTTTTAATAACAGTAGAGACGCCGTTACTCCTCGGTTGAGCTGCAGCCTGCAGATGAAGCAATACGTGCTTTTTATTTTTATTTTTTGCGAAGCAACGTCTGCTGTTTGCCTCCTTTTTCATCTGTTAAGAGAGAGAGGAGGAAAAGTTCTGTGCGGTGCAGCGCAGCTGGAGCTCTGCTGTCCCACCGGGTGGATGAAAGTCAGCAGGCATGCACACAGGTCAGTTTTCTACAATCAGAATAAGATGATCCGATTAAGTGTTTATATGGCGCAATTTTATTCCGAACGGCTGTTTAACACGATTACTTTTGTCCATGTAAACGTAGCTATTGAGAGCAACATTATGTCACGGGGAGAGTGCCGAGCTCGCTCGAGGTGATAGACGCATGCGCTATATGCGTAACGTGAAAGCTGACTACAGTTGGAAAAAAGAGCGCACAAGACACTTAATTTGACTTAAAATACAGACATTCTGACAAATAAGTAACCTTACCTCAACTTAGAAGGCAGAGGATGTTGGTCTTTTCTGCTCAGATTCAGCTATCGGAGCATGAAGCTAATGTTTACTTACAATGCTAATGCTCTCTTACTCTCTGGCGCTCAAGAAGTAGAGGAGCCAAATGGCTGGCTCACTGCTGAAGAGGCTGAACTACAACATAAAAATGAATGGCTGGCAGGAAAGTAGACACCCCTGTGGGTAAAAACAAACCACTTTGGTCAAAACTTAAAGGTCAGCTTGTCATCACACATCAAGTTCGTTTCTTAGCTGGAATTGATGTCACAGCTGCACAGTTCCATGGAGATGGAATTGATCCAAATATGCAAATTAAGTGATGATCCTAATATGCAAATTAGGTGATGACCCTAATATGCAAATTAGGTGGGGTGATGGTTGCATCACCTAATTTACATATTTACATCATCACCTAATTTGCATATTTGGATCAGTTCTATCTCCATTGCTCAGATTGTGTTCATTTCGTTCTAACTGTCGTACTGAACAGACCGTTTTTTTGAGAACGAATAATTGTTAGAGAATTTGTTAAAATGTCTTTTCCAAGACACCCAAATCAGAGAAGAGGTTGGAACCAGGGCTCGCTTTACCAGGAGAACGAGCATTTGAAAGCCTTGCTCAGCAATGAACGGGCTAAATGGTTCCATGAACATGCCATGGCTGCCGAGCTGAGGCAGGAACTGGAAAACACTAATGCCCAACTGGAAAAGCAGAAGTCTCTGAAAGAAGTTTTTATCAAGAAGGAGAAAGAGGT